GGCGAGCCTAGCTCCACTAAGTGGGGGCACCCCACTCTGCCAGCAAGCCTCCTGCACACAGGTGATCAGCTCTCCCGCCCTGTGGGCCAGGAAGCCCGCTGCACCATCTCCTGGTGGTCTCCTGGTTCACTGCCTCTGCTGCTGCTTCTCTGCCACTGCTTCTCGCCATCTCTGGTGTTACAGCTCTCTGTCTCTGTCACCAGGGTCTAGGAGGTTCTCAGCCTATGGACCCTGGCTTCAAAGGACATGCTCTGCTCCCATCTCTTCTTGGTGGTAGTGAGGTCCCCTCTTTCTGCCTCTAGAATGGCTCATTTTAAGACTAGCAGCAAAACTGACCAATCCCCTCATTAAGGTTCCATACACCAATTTGCATGGTCCAACACCCACGAGGGCTCCATGCATCTTCTTTGCATTATTAGCAAGATGTCCAACCCCCTTGGTGGGCCACAGCACCTTATTTGCATAGTCCTACACAATCATTTGGTGGGAGTTACAAGACCATGATGAGAATGGCCATATAAAAGCAATGCATCGTACTGCAGGCCACACCCTGGCTTTTCTAGCCATGGTTCTTTCACACTTGGAGGATAACTTTCCCCTCCCAATCATTTTACCATTCCAAAACAGTCATTGACAATTAGTCCTTCAGTAGGGCAAAGAGCCCTCCGGGTAAGATTACTCAGGCACCAGCCATTCAGGTCTGCTGCAGGAATCCATCTGATCTGGTCAGGTTCTCCAACAGCCATCTTGGCTTCACCCTTTCTGGTGTCTGATAAAATTTAACTGAGAGAAGATGATTCTCTTGCTGAGCCTTACAAGGAATCAGCATAGCACAACCTTTAAGGGACTTTAGGTTTGGCCACTGTACTCCAGTCCAGCAGTGCCTCCCCCTTAGCCCACTCTTTCACAGTTACACCTTCGACAATTAGTTTTTACAATCACAATTAACCCTGTTAACAATCAACACTCACAACTTCCCTACCTCTCTTCCCTAGACCTATCAGGAAAAGAGGAATCTATTCGGTGGGGATCTTCCCTTGTCCCCCATTTTAAGTCTAAGCACACCCATGAAAGTGTGTAAGCCAGCCACTTAATGCCTTTATCTCTCCCCATTTTACACAGCCAATTTCTAAATTGCCCATCCCTATCAAACCAGTAATCTGAGGAGAGAAGCATGTTCCTTGGTCTGAAGAATCTTCTGTTCCAGTTGTAAATTTAACCATCTTTATCCGTAAGCAAAGTCAAGTCCAGAGCAAGCCATCAAATTGCAGCAATCTACACCAGCTCATGGTGTCAAACATCACTCTCTCTCTTCGTTTGGGTTGTGGTCAGCTCATTACTAGCCCCTGTGGGTTAGGTCAATGGGTACCAGCTGTAGGCTCAGGAGTCCACACACTTCCCTGCACTTCGGACCAGCCAGCCCCTTCTCTCTCTCATCCCTAGTCCCCATGGGCTAGGCCAATGGGCACCACCTGTAGGCTCAAGAGTCCGTACAACACCCTGCACTTCAGACCAGCCAGCCCTTTCTCTCATCCCTGGTCACCTGGGCTAGTCAAGGAGTTTCAAAGGAACATGTCCAAACTAAGCCCATCTCTTCATTGCTGCACCTCCCCCACCACTCAGTGAGTGGACCCATGTGGTCACCACAAGTGAGCATACCAGGCTGTCTACTCACTGGCTCCATTTAACTTCCAGTCCTGGAAGGGGGTTCTTCTGAGAGGCACTGACTTTTCCTGTCTCAATGCATCCTAAAGCAAACCCTTTGCACAAAATTTAAAAAGTCAATTTTTTTTTCTTTTCCCTGCAGGTCCTTCCTTCAAATGCAAATTTCCTGCTCTCCCAGCAGTTCTGAGTCTGCATGTCTTTTCAAATGCAAATTTCCTGATTGGAAAGATTCTGAGTGGGGCTCAGGTTTTCAGCCTAAGCCCCAATGTTCTATACACAAGACTACTGCATTGAAATGAACAGCCTGTGTTTCTTTCGGGCAAATCCTAGTCCCCCTTTTAGCATATCCAATGAAGTATTGGCTGAAGGTGGAGTTACACTGTTATCTAGAATACCCAATACTCATTTCCATCACACATGCAGGTCTGTTTTACAACACTAGGTAGCAGAAACATTCAAAATCCATAGTACCTTTAAATAAACACATAACCCTTTTTAAAATATTCCAGCTTCATCTTCTCCATATCTTGACTATTTTTCCATTCATATGCATATGGCCTTGGGCCTCTGGCTGGGTGAAACCAGAAGACTCTGGCCTCCTATTAATCACCTTGTTTACTCGGCCTGGCTTTTTCCCCAAGCCACTCCAGATGTGGCTTTTCTCCCCTCAGCCACAGCATACTATCTCTTTACTTTCCCTTCAGCCACTACAAGTAAAGACCAAAGTAACCATCTAAGAATCCAAAGTTTCACTTTCCACACCGCTTCATTCTTTATCTTACAAAATCCATGCTACTATGAGTCTAGAGCCTTTGCAATGAA